TCTCTCTCTCTCTCTCTCTCTCTCTCTCTCTCTCTCTCTCTCTCTCGTGACTTTTTATTAGGAAGGGGTTTGTTAGAACAAATCCTCTCCTTCCCCCACCCCTGCCCCCGGGAGGGAGGAATGGGCGCTTCTGGATCTTGGAGTCTGGATTCTTTGGCTGTCTGGTATTCAGCTTCCTAAACTGACCTTGGATTTTCTTCTCCAAACGGCCGTCCTAGTTTCTGCTTCACAGGGTTCCATGCCTTTTCCAAGCCTTGCCTTTCATTGGAATGCCCTGCCACTTCTCCCCCTCGCTTCTCTGCGCAGAAGAGCTAAAGACACATCTCAAATACAACCTCCTTCCAAGCAGCCTTTTCTCATCCCCAGGCCTGTCCCTTACTGTCCCCAGCATTTCCTTGACTGTTGTCCTTTGCATGTTTATTTCACTCGATGGACAATGCATTTCTGGTGGCCGATGCTTTATTCAACCTTATTCACCTTCTACCGTCGATATCACAAGCACCTGGCACATGCTCCCTCCCTTCTCAGTAAATGTGTCATGAACAAACGATTGTGTAAAAGTTCTGGAGACAGAATTACATAATGAGTTTGATGGGACAGCAAATCTTAATTAGTTGTACTAAATTTGTCTCTCTCTTTAAATGAGTCTCTCCCCTTTTCTTGTTAATTTTGCGCTTTTGAGCAGTGGCATGTAGCCCAATTTTTTTTTCCCCTTCAAGCTCCTTTTTTTTTTTTTTTCGTTCTCTCTCTTCCACTCTTAGACTATAAAACGTTTCTATGGGAGGAAACACACCCCAGCTGTCAATCACAACGTGGAACCTTGGTCAGAATAGTCACGGGTTTTGTTTCCAAAGTTAATGAAGTGGCTGGAACAACAAACATCTGCCACAGGGGCTCAAACCCTTTCCAGCTGCTGGAGGGTGGCAGACACTCTTCACTGCCCCATCACCATACCCAGGCAGGGTCTGCCCTTACAGCCCAGACGAACACACACACAGAGACAGTCTACCCTGAGCAGTGAGGACACAAGGTGAGAAAAATCCACACCCCTCCCCAATTTGGCCCCGATTCCTGAGACAGCCCAGCACGAGAGAAGGCACCAGATGAAAGTTGGGCAGGGTGATCTGAAAACCGAAGTCTCCCTTCCTCTTTTTATCTTACACTCAACATTTCTGCTCACCAAGAATTCCTGAAGTTTAATGAAACAATTCATCTAATCCCAAATGTGACACTTAAATTACACATAGGACCCGCTTTAGGGGTTATCACCATGACTCTTAGTTAACCGCCCTTTTATAATCTTGATTATAATGCCATCGGGTATAATTACAACAAATATACCAGTTCATTTCCCAGCTATCTTTTCCTCAAAGGGGACTGAGGGGGCAGAAAGCATTTCTTATAATCTGGTCACGTGTATTTAGTAACTTGTATTTCTGCCACTAAGTTTTGAAATAGTTTCAGACATGTAAAAGCAAAATAGGGAAAGCCTTGTAAGTTAATATTCCCCTGGGCCCCGGGCCCATGCCAAAACCACTTGCTGTCTGTACAGCCCAACCCAGCAGCCTCGAATAACAAGTTAAAGGAGGTGTATGAGGAGGCCAGCTTGTTTTTAATGGTGATATTAATTTACTAAACTGCTCTCATACACTGCAAGGCATCTTTTTAAGAGAAGCCACAAATACAATCCACTTGACCAATGAGCTTAGAAAATATGGAATAGAGCCATTGAGCCTTTCCCAAAAACTAAGTTCAAACTGGGGGGAAGAAAACAAGACAATAGCTGTATCTATAAAGCACTGAGCATTAATACAAAGATGAAAAAGTTCAGTAAATCAGAGGAGCAGTGGATGGGGGAGGCAGAGGAGAGGTGGGGGGCAGGAAGGGACTGAGAGGAGAGGAGGGAAGAAAAACTGCAGTGGGGTGCAAAAATATAATAAAAGAGGAGAGAGAATTCAGTAAATCATCCAGGTCAGTCCATATCTGAGGAGCTGAGTGTACAAATTAAGAGTCAAGGTTCTCCTGTGCATGCGTGCATGTACGCATGTGTATGTGTCTGTCTGTCTGTCCTGTTTGTTTCTTGAGATAATGTTTTATGTATCCAGGCTTCCCATGCGCTTACTATGTTGTCAAGGCTGGCCTTGAACTTCAGATCCTCCCATGTCCCTCTCCCAAGTGCTAAGATTATAAAAATATCTGGCTGTGTTTCTCCTTTTTAACTGCACTATGCTGATCATTGAAACGGGTTTCTGCAAATGGCCTACATACCTCAGTTATGCCAGCCGCTGTAGCCAGGAAACTAAAATTTGACCTTATGAATTTTATCATAATGTTGTGCAAAATTCATGGGAAGCCTGGAGCATTAGTGAGCATGCTCTTTCCCCACCTGCTCTCCCTTCAACTAAGCAGAAAGCTGCTACAAGAAGGCAGCAGCA